TAAACAAACCTGAAAGCGGCTAATAAATCCTGTTAGGATTCGCGACATCGTGCTCATCGTACCGGTCCACTGTTCGTCACCGGTTTCGTCTACAGCAAAGCAAAAGGAAAGGTTCCTTCTGTCGCTTTGAGTACCTTTCGGCCCTCCGGTAAACGGAGTTAGCTCTCAGTGAGCGAGAAGACTTATATGACGTCAATACTTAACACTGGCAAAGCGTCGGCGGGGTCGGCAGCGTCGGCGACAAGAGAGGTATCCGAGCAAGGAGGTTAGGGCCGTGGGGCCGTGTTTCAAAATGTACTCGATCTTACTGCAGGGTAAGGGTTTGGAAACTTGGCGTTCCAAAACTTGCCCGCGTTCAGTGCTTTCCAGTTTGTGTTGTCACGTGACACGGCCCGCTGGAGGATTCATTTGGGTATGTTCGAAACGAGATCGCAGCACCGAGTCCGACAGCACCGGGGAAAAGCAGCACAGCACGCATCGAAAGTCGCATTGAAATAAGCATCGAAAGCAGTCGAAAGCAGACGCCGGTACGGAGTCTGCTTTCGATGCGAGCTGCGCTGCTTTCCTCCGGTGCTGCGCTTTCGTAGAACTTTCGCCGGGTCCTCAAAGATGACGCTACCGTTCACGCTGGGTTTCAAGAATCTGCTTCGTCGAACAACTTGTGTTCGACGCCGCATTGACCCCGTAAGTGATGACGTCACAACTTAGCGTCTGGGTCCAAACAAACCGTTGCTTGGGGCGTTGCTATGGACTAATGCATGGAGTCTCCACTCGAGGCTAGATTTTCGCTTATAAGTAAGTAAATAATTTTTCGTAAGCAACCTAACTTCTTGATGTCTAATTATGAAGATGTTCTTGTCATCTCAGCGTCGTATTGCAACGATGAAAGCCACATCTGAAGTGTTCCACTCCACTTTGCTTTGGTAGCAGACGACACGATAGATTTGCTGGCCTCTGTTGCAGCGGGCGTCTTCATTGAATTGCGTCGGTAAACGAGCAACACAAGCAAGTGCATCGCCCTGACCGCAAAGGCCTCCGCAATGTGCGTTTTTTTTTTTTTTTTTTTATTTCTGTGAAGAATTCAGCTTAGTTCAGAGGGGCGAAAATTTTGTAAAATCAAGTACGTCATGCAGATCAGTTACGACGACGACCTGAAGTGCATTACCGGCGTAGTGCAGGCCAGCATAAGAAACAAATCGTACGCCATCGAGATAAGTCGTTTGTTATTATTATTATTGAGGTTGTCAGGTTATTAAAATATTGCATGTCTATCGCAATTTTTTTTTTTTTTGTATACTTTAAATTTAGTGAATGTGCTCTTTCGGTGAAGATCTCCATCGAACCCGCGATGAGAGTACAATCTGTAATAAACTCACCTTATGTTTTTTATCCAGTTCTTTCGCGTTTAGGGGTCTTGCGGAAATCTGAAGAAACTGCTAGAATCTTTCTCCACCCGATGGTTAGAATCAGATACGAAGCACCCTCCCATAGCGCGAGTCCGCAAACAAAATTTGGGATCTCTACCGATCGCCTGAAGTGCTTTTTCTCACGGGTGCATTGCGATCTTTTAGCAGCCGATCATCTCGATCGACGCCCGGACTTTCGATAAACCGTATTTTGCATCGCACCCCACTATGAATTCTTATAAGTGTCTGAAACTCATTATATTCCAAACAAATGCAATATCAGAATATTGTCTTTATTCACCCGATTCAGACGCCGGCGCCGGTTTGGCCGGCGGGTGTGTGGCAGACGGCATTCTTCTTGCATTCGTCGTCTGCTGCAGGGGCTGCAGGCATCTTGAGGACCGGAAGTTGCAGTCGTAAACAAGCGATTACCGGCACACTTCTGTCGCAACATATATGACATTCAAGCTTTCTATATCTGTAATTTTTAGAAGTTTAAATCCTACTTCCGATTTTTGAACGGTCGAGTTTTCGTAGCGAAACCTAGCCACATGTATTCGTCCATAACAACGACCCTAGAAACGGTTTGTTTGGCCGTGGCGTTCCAAAACTTACTCGAGCTTACTCGGTGACGTCAGAACTCGCGTTCCAGAAGCGGGTTGTTTACTCCGGAGTAATTACTCACGCTACCCTCCTCGATCGGGGGGTAACGTCGGATCAAATCGAGTAAATACGTCACGTGATCTGCTCGTCGTCTGCTTTCTGCGCCGGCAGCCGTCAAAGCTCGCTTGCTCCATTGGTTTTGGTGCCGGACCTTCGAAATGACAAAGGATAGGCGCAGCATGTGTGTTTATTGCGATTTGCTGTTTTCAACGCACGAATTGACTGAATTACATCCAGACCATGCACCTTCTCCGGGAAGTTATACTTGTTATTATCAGAGGGCGATTGTAAACAGGAGCTTCTCCGCATTCTCGTCCTGGGCGTTGGAGGGAATGCCGTATTCTCACGTTCAAGGCTGAAAATGTTTGAACGCAGTAAATGATAAGGTAGTACTAGTATTCTTGTTTCCTCCAGAGTATGTGTAATGAGAGGATAACGCTTGTAAAGTTGTGATTTTATTGTAATCATATTCGCGTCAACGTGAACGTCAGTTTCATGTCATTTTTGAGAAAGCACCCTCATGCTGTACCGGTCCACTACACCGTGTGGAATCAATTTCTGCAAAACATAGTCGGTGCAAATTACAATGCGTGGAATATATGCATTTTGGGGAGATCGCGCTGATTAATGAAAACACATTTTTTTTTTATATCTAACTGTAAGGAGCAATTAAGTAATTTGTATCTCAATATACAGCTCAAAAGGAAGGTGAGTAAAAAGAGCTGGTAAATCCACCGAAAAAAAACAAAAACCGTCGTCATTAATATTATTGTCTCTTCGAGTGCTTTCTTTATGATCAAAAGGATCGTCTGCTATTTTCTGCCACCGCTGCTGTATTTTCTTTTTACCGTAGCTCAAGACGAAGCCAACTACCATGTAGGCACCCTACCTCCCCCGAGTGTGATCAGCGCGATCAGGCAGAGTCATGAAAATGGCCTCTTCCCCATTCTCCCCCTTCATGGCCGTCCTCCTACCGTCTCCCCCACCAGTGTGTGTGGTGTCAAGTGACACGCTGCAGGCGGCCTGCCAAGCCTCCCTGCACCGTTCCCGCTGCCCCCTCTCGGTCTCACTTCTCGCCGACCCTAGGGCGATGAAGCGCAGAGCGGAAAGCAAAAATCAGTGACTTTTTTTTTTTGTTGTTGTTGTTGTAACCAGCAGCTTTCAGAAATCACGCGGTCGTCGAAGAGCACCCAGGCCGTCGTTAGGAGAGGGAAGCTGCCAAGAGGAATCGCACAAAGGCAGTAACTGGTCTAGGGAAAGAGGGGAGGCCGTGTACTCAGAAAGTTGGGTGGCCATGGCCCAAGCGTTGCTATACTCCGTTTCACCTTCAGTCCGAGCGCAGTGGACGCCACGAGCCATCCCAGCCGATCCAGCGCCGGGAGAAAGTCGCGTGACCTGCCGGTGGGGCGGGGCGACACAGGGAGCTCAAGGTCGCATGACACTCCCTCAACGCCGCATTGGCTGGGATGGCTCCTAGCGTCCGCTGCGCTCAGACTGAAGGTGAAACGGAGTATAGACCGACCTTCGGCCGCCGCGCGAAATGCGAAGACGAGGACGCACTCAGTTCCAAGGCACTGGAAGAAGGGTGGGGTTGGGTGCGGGAGGTTGAGGGGTAAGGGAAGGGGGGAGGGAGGTGCGTCTTTCGCCCTCGTTTTATTTTCCCAGCCGAAGTTTAGATTAGAGTTCTAGCTTGTCTCACCGCTAGTTACTGTCCTGTACTTGTGTTCTTAAGTCGCAAGCGCCATGTACGCGCTTGTTAGATTTCTGGAAGACCACGACCTCACATGCGACATGTGATATTAGTTAGTGACATTGAAGGTTTTAGCCCTGTGGACACCAATGACTTTGACAACAAGGCCATTTACAACGCCTTCTGGCGCGACTGTGTTGTGGACGGCAATACCGGTTTCTACTCGGCGCAGGTCTTGGCGCTCGGAAGTGAGTACAGAAAGATTTGATAATTTGACATTCTAATTTTCATACTACTTCTAGTGACAACAGAAGAAGTGGAGGATCCCCAAAAAAGAGTCCCGGTTCCGAAGGTTACAGTTGAAGAAGGTTCAGATGACGAGACTCTGGTTCAGAGAAGGAGACAGGTACCGTGATTTGGCTGATTCTTGGCAAAGTTCAGAGGAAGTTGATAACGGCAGTGAAACTTATTCTTGTATGTATTTGATCAACATATAGGAAGCAAAGAAAAAGAAAACCAACCAATCAGCTTCCAAAAAGGACAGCTACGTTAAAATATTGAAGCAGCATATGAATCAAGCTCATAAAAAAAAAAAAAAAAAAAACGCATCGGGGGTTCGAAGCAACGGAGGAACCGTATGTATTTTAGCTTAGTATTGTGCCTCACAAATATAAATTTATGTAATGTAAACGTTTTCCTTTGAAATAATTTTCAGCGAAAAGGGGTTCAGAGCTCGTCTGACTCCGACGCTACAGCTAATATTAGCAAAAAGCTCCAACATCCAGAAACAAAAAAAAAAATGCAAAGAGCTCCGGGAGGATAATCTCTTTCTCCAGGACCAATTAAAAGGATATCAAGCACTCCTTAGCTCCAAAATGTTCAGACGTAAGTAAAGGCCCTTTGCTTTTGTTTATATGTCACTAAAGGGTTCGCCCGTTTTGATAAGTAAAACATATTCAGTATTATACCTAGAAACAAAGCAATGAAATGGACAGTGGTGTAGAGCTTAATGCTTTTTAATTAACAGATGAGGAAGAATGTGGCGGCAAGAGAGCAACAGTGGCTGCAACAGATGCTGTGATTGGCAGTGTCAATCAAGGTATGTACGTTGTATGTAACATGATAAATCTCTTCTGGGGACTTGCCTTGCTTAGATTAGAATTACTGTTAATGGTCCAGCAGAGTAGTGCATACCTGACGTTAATATACTCTGTCGTTTGTTAGGCAGCATTGAAGCATCACCTTTATGTATTCGAGCCAGGAAACGGCACTGGTGAGTTAATGCCGTGCACGTCCAAGATGCCTCCGCCTCCAAGTCGAGCAACAGGCAAGTTGCTTACACATATGCAGTGTTGTAAGTGCAAGGCCCACCATTCAAACTTAATATTCATATTTATAGCAAACCAGGGGCTTTTAAAAGAGCATTCCAGGGGCACGGTTTCTGCGACAGGTTGGTTTCCGATATTCGCTTCCCGACACATTATGCATTTGTTGCAGCATTTATTTTATGACTTTATTTTAAAATGTTAATAAAAATCAGGCCATTCCAGTTAAAAAAGATGGCTTACGCCATGCACAACCACACACCTACACAAATTGGCAGAGAGAGAGAGAGAAATAAGCGGAAATGCAGACGGGAAGAATTCCGTGTTCAGTTGCGAAGCTCGCGGCCGAGCCGAAAAAGTTCTGAGTGGAAGCGAGCGTTCCAAGACGCTGGCTTCGTTCAGCACTGCCAGTTCCAAGTCCCAATGTTACATATTTCAGTTCTGCACGTACCCCACGTGCAAAACTGAAATGGCAGCGTCTTGCTGAGGCGGCCGTGGAGGCTTGCTAGCAATAGTTCGCAAGCGCGGCGAGCTGTTCGAGAAAGCGCACAAGCCGGAAAAGAGCGCCGTGAGACGGCGATGTCAGCGGGTTTACTGCGGTTGATCGAATGCCATTTCATCGAAGCACGTTTTAGAGAATGGGCACGGTTTAGAGAAAGCAGAGCCTCAGTTTAGAGAAACGCCGTTCATCGAAAAAAAAGCGCATTAAAAAAAAAAAAGAAAAAAGAAAAAAAAAAAAGCTTTCTTACTTTTTGCGTGTATCACTGGTGCGCGGGGAACATAGGGGGGGAAGGAGGGAAGGGGAATGCGGCGCAAAGCGGAGGCTGCCATATTAAAACTGCTTACGTTGCCAGCATAGGTTTTGCAGCGGAGAAGTTGCTGCCATATACACCGGACTGAGTTTTACTTTCTTTTCCGTTTTGGAACGAGAATGTATTGTTGGGTTACATAAGTCCTCCTGCATACAGACAACGAAGTTTAATTATATTTGTCTTGTTTACTTGGTTTGAAACCCTAAAAACGGTTTTTTGACGACTTATTGCTTCCATCATTTTGGAGTACGCAAGGTACTCCAAAATCTCGCCGTTCTGGTTTCGGTTACGAAAGCAAGGCAAAACGCTCGTAGTTCCCGCCCTCAATACATGTTGGACACCTTCCACACTTTGAAACCGGATAACTGGATGAAGAAGGATTTGCATTTACTTCAGAGGTAACTTTCGCCGCTTCCTCACCGTCGAGCAGCCGTATCAGCTAGCGGCAAGCCGCGGATGAAAGGCTTGAGCATCAACAGCCTAGAGCCACTTCAACAGCCCAAGTGCACTCAGTGCCGATGCGGGCGACGCGGGCTTCTGTCAACCCAGGGGCGGACCCGAAATAAAACCAACTACCGGCTTGCCAGGTGGTAGGAAGCTCGGTACTCAAGAACGAGGGTTCGAAATAGGGTAGGTCGCACCCTAGCACGCACACTTGTACTCTGAACTTGGAGAACCACTCCGTCGCGTAAAACCGAGACCGAATTCGTTTCTTTTTTTATCTAAAATACTGAACAAAAACTACTTTTATAAATAATTGAAACGGTTCGCGCCACTTATATTTTGTATTTCGACTAAAAAGAAGCTTTCAGCGGCTTTGACCAGTAGTAAACCCAGGACCAAAGTCGTCACATTTTGCGCGCTTTCGGTACCGCGGGTCGCCCTCGTCGGTGGAGGAGGTTTCCGCGTCGTCCGGTTAAAATATGACGCACTGATATCTAGTTACTCTCTCCGTGCCCGCTGGCTTGCCCGAACCCCAAGAGACGTGGAAACCGCAAAAAAGGCGGACGCTTAAATATGATTGCAGGGCCCCTTTAAAGGGATACTACAACGAAATTTCGGCGCTCACTTTTTGGTCTATGTGTGTTCAAAAGAGCAGTATCACATGGAATATACCAATATCTTGTTAAAAAAGTCTCGAAAAGGAATTTTAAAACGAATTAAACGATTAGCAAAGAGCACCTGGTGGATGTCGCTAACGCCTCGTTTGTAATGCTCGTCTAGGAACCTTGACAGCTAGTGACGGAGGTTGTCTCGTCTCCGGCCACGACGAGAGAAGGGGGGAAGGAGGAACTCCCCTAAAAAAAATTGGCTTGCTCATTATGTTTATACAGCCTTGATGGAGATGCGCGTCAACGGGTAATCGGTCTCTTAGCTGTAGATGAGAAATTTAGCCAGTGCGGTACAACCGCTAACCTGGGATTTTTAACGTGCATCACGCAGTAGTGATCACACGAACGCGTGCCGGTACGAAACTCATCCAGATCGAAACGGGCGGGGGCGGCGGGGATCGAACCCAGGAGGTTCCCAGCGCAAGCTTTCGCTCCACGCTCCGAGCTGAGACGCCCACTCGGCCACTTCCTCTCTCGGAACTCCCCTCTTCCCGAGAATCGCTTTTGTGTGTCGCAGAAGTCGCTATTGTCCCCCTAGAAGATTATAGAAGATTAACCCGTCACTCAAAATTCATACAAAAGCAGCCGCTTCGGTGGCTGGAACGACTAGGCCATCCTCTCGACGTCAGCCTCGCCGTAGCTTTGCTCGTCTTGAGACGATCTACGTCACGATTGCGTTGGATGTCACGTGCTCAAAGCTGGGCCTTCTCCGAGCGCTTGCCAGAATGGGCCGTTTATAACGAAAAGTACAGCCACCCGGCTCAAAATACAAACTTGCGATTGTAATTTACGGATATTGTGGATCATATTCAACCTATTTTTGAACACGACGGGAATATTTAAAATTTCGTTGAAGTATCCCTTTAAAGCGCGATCCAAGCCAACGCGTTTTTGCACCCGCATAGGTCATGCGCTTCCCGGAAATTGCGTATTTCGCGACGTCGCACTGATTCCTTGCGCCTTCCGGGCGCGCGTAAAAAAGTTGGATGATTCGAACTTTTTCTGAACGCGCACGAAAACGCGCTGTGACGTATTAGGGCGCTCCTGCTCCCGGCCAATCGGTAGAGGGCACTATACTCCGTTCTAGAGCACTGCACGGGCCGAAAATTCTAGTCCCGGCCCGACCCGGCCCGGTAGAGACACGGCCCGGGCCCGGCCCGAGCCCGACAGAATATTTTATTTCTAGGCCCGGCCCGACCTGGCGCGGTAGAGACACGGCCCGGGCCCGGCCCGACCCCGATAACATTTTCAAATATCAGCCCGAACCCGGCCCGAGCCGGAAAACTGGGACCGAGTTTTTTATAGCATAAACATGCCGACTTAGAATATGTATTGACGAGAGTATGGGTGAAAATATGCGCATCATTTGCGACAGTCTTTGAACTCATGGCACATCGACAATCCTTGAGACACAAGTGGAGAATTTTTTATTTATGAATTTATTGAAGAGATATTGCACTTTTCGTTGTTCTATTCAATTCGTTTAAGAGAAATTTCCTTCCTACATATTTTTGTGGAGGAACAATAAATTGTCCATGGACTTTCTCTTCAGGCAGGTCCGTCTTGCTTGCATAATGTAGCCCGCCGCGCTGAAGTTCCGTTCGCTGCTAGCACTTGTAGCAGGGATGCACAGGATGCGTTTGGATAGAATGGACAGTTTCGGGAATTCTCTCTCGTGCCCTCTCCAGAAGCCACAAAGCTCAGACACTCCTGAGCACGAGTAGTCTTTCTTGCCGTGTAGATACTCCTCTATTGTTGTTAACAATTTAAAATTTACGGCACACGACTGACCAGGCACGGCCCGGGCCGACGCGGTCCGGATTTTTTTTTTTTTTTTTTTCAAGCCCGAGCCCGGCCCGGGCCCTAAGAAATACGTGTTACCCGGCCCAGGCCGGGCCTGGGCTTTCGGGCCGGGCCTGGGCTTTCGGGCCGGCCCGAGCCCGTGCAGTGCTCTACTCCGTTCCACCTTCAGTTCGAGCGCAGTGGACGCCACGAGCTATCCCAGCCGATGCAGCGCCGGGAGAAAATCGCGTGACCTGCCGGTTGGGCACAGCGACACAGAGAGCTCAAAGTCACATGACTCTCTCAACGCTGGATTGGCTGAGATGGCTCCTGGCGTTCGCTGCGCTTGGACTGAAGGTGAAACGGAACATATATCTCCGCGTTTCTTTGCCGTCTGGCGTAGATGCTCTCCGCCCGCCCGAAGGCGCATCGTCCTAACCAGCGCACATGGTTTTGACTCAGAAAGCGCACCGGAAACAGAAAACATGCCAGGAAATACGCAAGTTCCGGGAATCGCACGGCCTACGCGCGCACAAAAATGCGTTGGTTTGGATAGCGCTTTACTACCACTGCGACGCTCCTAGAAGAGGAGCGCTCGAGTGCGCTCCTGTTCGTTTAGAGAACGGGGCGCCAAACACTCGTGCTCCGGAGCACCGACACCCCCCAAATTCGTATTTATTTTATTGCCTCAGACGCTTCAAAATGGCGTCATAAACCCTCCCAAAAAAATGCAAGGCGAAAAAAAAAAATCATAGCGCACGGAACGCGCGTTTCAAGTATCCGTATCCTCCTCCCCAACCACGTAGCCAGGGAAGCCCCCCCCCCCCCCCCCCCCCCCCCCCCCCGGCCCGAAATCTCCATTTTGCTGGAACCCCCTGATACAGCATTTTGTCATGGGCGCCCCCTAAAGCGCCCCCCCCCCCCCCCCCCCCCCGAAACAAAATCCTGGCTACGTGCCTGCTCCTCCCCCACTGACACCTCCTCCCCCCTCGGTACACCCTCCTCTTCCCTCGGTACACCAAACGTCCAGCGGCCGCTCGAAAGGGTCGCATCAAAGACGAGGAGCCGCCAGGTCGCCGAGGCCCCGCAGCTGCGGAGGGGAAAGAGACGAAAGGGCGGACAGGAAAAACCAAGGCACTCGCTCGCGAAAAATTCAAATTTAACTTCCCCCCCCCCCCCCCCCCCCCCCAAAAAAAAAAAAAAAAAAAAGTTGTTTTGTTACGAATAAGTAGTTTCCGAGCCTCAGATCTTGAGGGTGATAATATCAGGGTATCATTTTTGGTCGTATGAGCCATTGCCCGTTTGTCCATGTCCGTTTAATCTTTTCCTGCAGCAGGACGGACTGTCTCCTCCGGTTTTCTTTCTCGAATTAAAAGTGCAAGACGCGTGATTTGCGTCTTCCACAACTTCTGCGTGTAACTTAAGTGCTGTTGTAATGTGAAGACTTCTCATTTTGTTTCTTGCAGCTACACCTTCAGAGGGGAATCGTCATAAACAACGTGCCGGCGGATAAGATGAAGCCCAACAAAAAAGCCGACAATTGTGGCCAAAGATACGGCACAGGCCATTTGGACTCGAGCAGGGTTGGCAAGTCGTAGTGTGAAAGGGGTTCCGGCGCCTCCCAAGAAAGGGGCTACGAGCAAAAGCGAAGCCAGCACTAACCTCAGAAAAAAATTGAGATAGTCGCAGGTAAGTCCCAGTGATGATACGCAAAACATTTGAACGAGTTTTAACATTCTGAAATTTTTTGTCCAGCGACAGTGTCCCACTGGGGCAAGTCAAAGAGGGTCGACGTGGGAGCTGTGCTTCAGAACCTTACCTCTGTACTTACAGAGAAAATCCAGGACAACATGAAGGCTGAAAGCAGATTGATGAGCAGCAATGCTAACTAGAATGCCTGAGCTGCGCCATATTTTTCTTCTTCTGGCAGAGGCCATTTTCCTTGTTTATACTGTGCGAGTCAAATGGATCGACGGCTGTTTGGAGGAATCGTATAAATCGGTTTATTCACAGAGTTTGGTTTAATTAAGCGCATAGATGTAATAACATGGTGCATTTGTTTAAAACAATTGTGTAAAGATTTGCTTGCCTCAGTTGGGTGTAAACAACTTTTCGCCACACTAACATACTTATCTTGGCTAAATGAAGGTGATAGTATTCACGCACATTCTATTTTCTTTCTGTTCTAGTTGTTTTTCAGTCGTACTAACGCCACACGAGCCCGAAATCCTATTTGATGAATTCACGAAACCAAAAGGCTTAGCGAGAAGTCGTTCATAGGGAAGAAAAAATCGTTTTTTTTTTCTTTTGACACAGAGAAGCTTGCATTTTCATACTTTCTAATAATTAATGCACCATCTTAGGGCGCCTTTGTAACAAACTTTGGCACGATATGTTAAGAAACCGGTTTTTGCAGTTCCTTCAAGCCGCCATCGATCATTTTGACTCACCCTGTAACATCGTTATTTCACATCAATAAATAATAAACCCGTGTTTTATTAAGCTTACTGTTTGTCAAAGTCCTCATACTGAACCCAGCTGGAGCTGGAACCAGTTGCAACTGGGACCACCCGCACTGGGACCCACTGTCCAACTGGAACTGGGTCGCTTGGGGCATCCTTGGCACGCAGAAGTGCTGCGTCTCTGTAACTTCGCACGCTTGGATACCTATTGTTGCGACAGGCCTTGGTCAAGGCCTCGTTCAGAGTACCACGGCGCCAAAATGTGAAGTCCTGCCGCCACTGCAGAGTGTGTGTGCGTGCGTGCGTGCGTGCGTGCGTGCGTGCGTGCTCGGGGGATGAGTGGGGGCGGGCCTGGACATGACGTTTGTAAGCTGTTCGGCCACCATTGGCAGCCAACCGCGGACAAGAGGTCGCGAAGTGTGCTGTCGGACGATGTATATACTTCTTTATATACGTAATTCAACAGAGTTTATCGTGAGAGACCCCCCCCCCCCCCCCCCCCGTCCATGGCCGTACCAACCGGGGGGGGGGGGGGGGGGGGGGCGCAAGGAATACCAAGGGCACCGGCCCTGGAAAAGGGGGGGGGGGGGGGGTCTCTCAGGGGAGAAGGACGCTTCAGCGTCCTTCTCCCCCTGGCAGGTATTCGGACTGTTAAAGAAAACAATACGGGGAAAGAGGGCGTGGTCCAGCTTATTTTAATCTGAAATTATTTATGCATGTGTATAAGCTACTGTCGCTCTTCACTGCATAAAAGGTTGCGTAGATGGTCATTGTTAGAAACTCGTTGTCAGAAGGGACTGCTCGTCACATGCTTAGTGGTTCGGAAGTTCAAAACTGTATTTTCGACCTAAACACCTGTGCCGATATAAAAAAAAAAAATAATAATTAAAAATATAAAAAAAAGAAATAAATGCGGGAATAAAAAGCAGGAGAAAAAAAAAAACTATCAAGAATTCGTTGGAAGTGTTCTAGCATATTCAGAGGTTCAGAACTTCGAAACAAGTTTCTTTTACCAAAATGTGTACAGGCTAAAAAAACACGTCCCAGGAACGTGAAGCGAAAAAAAAAAAGTTTTCTTTTAATGACGTGCTGAACTTGAACACTATTAGAAATCTTCCCCCATGAGTTAATTTATTCCTTAACGTGAAAAAACAATAAATATATTATTTTTATTCTGCAGATGGCACTGATATGTACTGTCTGTGGTGTTAATTTAAATGCGATACCTCAAACAACTTAGACGAAAATAAATATCAAGTTTAAGTCATAATTGCATGCAGATACATGTTTGGACATTTCTTCGAAACTCACGTTGAATAACAATAATCACATCTTAAGACGGTACTTACCTAGGCTATACATAGATCATTCTTAAAAAAGTATAGCATATCTACCATAAATAGCTCCGGCTGCAGCGTGCTTCAAATCTAGCACAAACGATAATCGTCAAAAACCCGTCGTCCTTCCTCGCCCCTTTGGGGATTTATTTCTTTAAACCAAAGCATGCCAGAACATTGAAATAAACGACATTGTCTTTCGTAAGAAACGCAGCACCGCGTCTAAAAGTTCGAGCAAAAAAAATTACGAATGTACCCCACTACTTGATATCAAATGAAACCGTCCGCCGGGCTTTCGAAGTTCGACGAACGTCGAACTTTTACCCTAAAAGTTCGCAGTTCGTCGAACTTCTGACTTTTCAGAAATCGAAATTTCGAAACTTTTCGAATTCTTTTGATAAATAAGTTCGAAAGTTCGAAATTCATCGATTTTTTGGTCAGTCAAGTTCGAAAGTTCGACGAGCATCGAACCTTGCAGCGCAATAAGTTCGAAAGTTCGAAAAAGATCGAATTTTTTAGCGTAATAAGTTCGACGGTTCGAAAAGCGTCGAACTTCTTAGCTTAACAAGTTCGAAAATTCGACATCCGTCGAATTTTACGATGTAGACAATTCGAAAAATCGAAATCTTTCGAACCTTTCGAACCGCTTGATTCGATCATCGAAACTTCGATTCGAAAAAAGTTCGCGGCATCCCTAATGGTAAACGTCCTATGATGCAACGCGCGGGGAGGAGGAGGAGGGGAGGAGGAGATGGTACGGATAAGGAGGAGGGACATACCCTCCCCTCCTCTTCCTCGTCAAGAGCTGCGCTCTAATTCGGCGTTACAGGAGGTTGTAAACGTCTTATTGTTTTTTTTTAAATATTTTTGAAGTTATGCAGATATTCTCCTGTCAGAGCAATATATATATTATTGTAAGTGTTCTGAACGTAATCATCCAATTTCAAATTGTCACAGGTTTGCTGATATTCTCTGTTTAAACACAAAGGACTGCCGACCAGGCGATAGGTCCACGCCTCGGTGGAGTCTTGCCAATGAAGGGGAGACCACAGTTTTGCAACGAAACGAATTTAATACTACAAACAAAACAAAAGAAAACACAATAAAGGTAAACAAGTGCCGAGCTGCGAAAACAACAGGACTCGAACGCACTTCACCCGGCCGGTGCACGGGCGGCGAAGATAAATCACTCAACGCACCACGAATTAGGCAAAACCCAAAGTCTACCGCTCAATACAATGCAGTAACCATCTCTTACGCGGGAGCTTCCCCGAACATGGAAAAAAAAATAACTTCGGAGCTTAAATGTTATCAAATAATACAATCGGACACCCGTGAGAATAAAAACCAAGTACAGAAATACCGCTTCCTTAATTACTATCAAGAGGAAAGTGCGAGTGGAGGGGAAATCTCGTCTCACAGTGTCCGGGAGTGGCGGTCTTGCGAGGCGCTGTCCGAAGGGGGAAGGAATGGTCCCGGTGGTACCACGGTGGGTTGGGCGGCTTGAAGCGGCCACACAATCACGCACACACACTTCGTCGTCGAAGTCTTCCCCAGTCCGGACCTGGCCCGCTACCGTTGAGCTCCACGGACTCGGCGCTTCGATTCCCCGCCTGTTGCTTCCGAGTTTCCCGCTCACACTGCTCGCCTTTGCCCCAAAGAGTCCCCCTGGACGGGCCCCCGCATTCCAGCACGCAGGCGTGGAAAACAAAACAAAAAGAAACCAAACCCCAGGACGCTGGCCCGCTCGTCCCTTCATCCTCCCCAAAGGGAGCATCGCTTCGTTTTCGGGGGCGCTGGGTCCCAGACCTCACTCCCCGCGAATTTCTTGGAAGGACGCGTCTGGCCCGGGAGAATGGATAACGTAACACAGTCGGATTTTGTAACATGAATAACGTAACATAGCCGGATTTTGTGACACTGCCCCTCACTTAAGAAGATTCACCCGTGAATATTTAAACTAACTCTTCACAAAAACTCGGCTAACAATAGCGCACAAAAGAAAAAAAAATCAAGAGTACATATACTAAGCAAACCAAACTGCGCCCCGTATGAGATAAGCCGTGCACATTCCAACAGTGGGAAGTTTTCATATTCGGAGGATACAAACGAAGTACGGAGTAAACATAACATACATATATTGGCTTAATAGAGAAAAACAAACCCTCATTAGTGAGGCGGACTTACAAGCGGCTTAGGAAATCAGCGCCCACATTTTCGCTGCCCTTGATATGTTCGATAGTGAAAGGAAATTCCTGCAAGAGGAGGCTCCACCTCAGCACTCTACTGTTCAGATGCTTCGCCTGATTGATGTACTTCAGCGGCTGGTGGTCGGTTTGTACGAGGAATTTCCTACCGTAAAGGTATGGACTGAATTTCTGCACTCCCCAGACCAATGCCAAGCACTCCCTTTCGATGGTGCTGTAGGCGGCCTCACGAGCGAGCAGCTTCCGGCTAGCGTAAGCCACAGGATGTAAGCGGCTGTCATGCTGCTGCATTAACATAGCTCCGAGACTTGTGTCGGAAGCATCGGTCCTGAGGACGAAGTCTTTTCCGAAATCTGGGAGTCTCAGGATCGGCGGATTGGCGATCCGTTCTTTCAGCTCGTCGAACGCCGACTGATGAGCGGTCCTCCACTCAACCTGGTTCCTTTCCTTTTTCTTCGTGAGGTCCGTTAGCGGCCCACTGATCTTTGCGTAGTCGGGAATAAAATCCCGGTAGTATCCCGTCAGTCCAAGGAACGCCCGCACCTGGCGCTTGGTGGTCGGCACACTCGCCTTCTCGATTTTGTCGAGCGTCTTTCCGAGGGGTGCGAGCTGTCCCTTTCCGATGCGGTGACCCAGAAAGTCAATTTGTTCCATCCCAAACTCGCACTTGGTCGGGCGAATGGTCAGCCCTGCTGCTTGGATACGGCCAAACAGTGTCTGCAGAGCTGTGAGGTGTTGCTCCCAGCTGTCGGTAGCCACCAACACATCGTCGTAGTAATGGGCCACATCTGGGATTCCATCCACCACCTTCCGCATCAGTTTGGCAAATACCGCCGGAGCGGTCTTGACCCCAAACGGCATGTACCGAAAATGGTACAGTCCCGAAGTCGTCGAA